ACACAAGTTAAAATGGAAGGGATGGACATAGATATATTAAACAGCTGGACTGGCCCTTTTAACATCATAAAAAGTAGACTTCAGAATAAGGAGTATTACAGAGGACAAAAAAGGACACTTCCTAATGAAAAAGGAGTCAATTCACCAAGATGACAGTAAAACACTAAATATGAACATACCAAATAGCAGAACTTAAATATTTATGGAGCAAAAACTGAAATGAGAAAAAGCCAAATAAAAAATGACAGTTGTAGATTTCAACATTTCCCTCACAGTTAACTGACAGAACAAGTTGACAGAAAAATCAGTAAAAATACAGAACACTTGAGCAACACTAAGTACCAACTTAACCGAATTTATCTTTACAGAACAACACACTCAGCAACTATGGAATAACATTCCTTTCTAATAAACAGGTAATGTTCACAAAGATAGACCATAGGTTGCTCCTTAAGTCTGTCTTGCTCAATTTCAAAAGATAGACATAAATTAGAAATCAGCAAAAATAACTGTTTTAGTTTTCTTGGGCTGCCATAATAAAATACCATAGACCACACAGCTGAAATTTCTGTTCTGGAGGCTTGGGAAGTCCATAATCAAAGTACAGCTAAGAAAATTTCATGCTGAGGCCTCCTCTTGATTTGTAGGTAGCCACCATCTCACTATGTGCTTCTTGTGCATGTGCAGAGAGAGAGAAGAGTTCTCTGGGTCTCTACAAGGACACTAATTCTATAGGATTGGAGCCCCACCCTTAACTTCATTTAACTTTAATTACTTCTGTAAAGGCCTAATCTCCAAATCTCCAAATACTGTCACACTGAGGGTTAAGGCTTCAACATATGAATGGGGGGTAGGGGCCACAAACATTCAGTCGATAACAAAAAGATATTGAAAAAATTCCCTCAATGTTTGGAAAACAAATAACCAATGAGTAAAAGATAAAACCATAAGGGAAAATAGAAAACACTGTAGTTGAATGACAATGAAAATGAAATCACAATATATTAAAAATTGTGGGATGTAGCCAAAGCAACAGAGGGAAATTTACAGCTTTACATGCTCACAGAAGAAATAAATAGGTATAAAATCAATGACTTCAATTTCTATCTTAAGAATCTAGAAAAAGGGGTACCTGGGTGGCTCAGTCATTAAGCGTCTACCTTCGGCTCAGGTCATGATCCCAGGGTCCTGGGATCAAGTCCCGCATCAGGCTCCCTGATCAGCAGGAGTTGGCTTCTCCCTCTCCCACTCCCCCTGCTTGTGTTCCTTCTCTTGGTGTCTCTCTCTCTGTCAAATAAAAAAAAATCTTAAAAAAAAAAAAAAAAAAAAAAGAAGCTAGAAAAGGAAGACTAAGTTAAACCTAAAGGAAGTAAAAGAAGAAAATAATAAAAGAGAAAAAAATTTAACAAAGCCAAAAGACGGTTCTTTGAGAGGATTAAAAAGGTTGATGAACTGCTAGCAAGACTAATCCAGAAAATGTAATTTACAGATTACCAATTTCAGGAATACAAAATGGATTATCACTATATATCCTAAAGATATTAAAAGGATAAGGGAATATTATGAATAATTATGGTATTATCAATAAAACAGGAGAATTCTTTCAAAAAAACCCCACAACTTATCAAAATTGACTCAAGAAGAAACAGAATATCTGAATATCCCCATATCTATTAAAAATATCTCCAAGTGGGGCGCCTGGGTGGCTCAGTTGGTTAAGCGACTGCCTTTGGCTCAGGTCATGATCCTGGAGTCCCTGGATCGAGTCCCGCATCGGGCTCCCTGCTCGGCGGGGAGCCTGCTTCTGCCTCTGACCCTCTCCCCTCTCATGTGCTCTCTCTCTCTCATTCTCTCTGTCTCAAATAAATAAATAAAATCTTTAAAAATATATATATATATCTCCAAGTGTATTAAAGATATTGAATTCATAATAAAAAAATATTCCCACAACTTCAGGCCTAGAATATTATACTGGTGTATTATAGCAAACATTTGAGGAAGGAATCATTCCCTTATGCAAAAAAATCCACAATATATTCAGTAATTTCACAAAATGTTTCTCAACCCATTTTATGCAAACAAGATAATCTTGATACCAAAATATGAAATATATATTAGAACAAAACTACAGAAAAATATTACTCATGTACATAGACTCAAAAATCCTCAAGAAAACATTAACTAATTGAATCCAGCAATATATAGAAAGCATGAATGTGGGGTTTACCTAAGGAATATAAGGTGGTTTTAACACTGGTCAATCAAGTGAACAAATTTAGCAGTTAGTAAAGGAAAAATCATGATTATCTCAGTATATGCAGAAACAGCAGGTGGCAAAAGTCAGCACCTTTTCATGATAAGAATTCTCAGCAAACTAACAATATAAGTAACATTAAGTCTGATTAAAAGCATCTACAAACAACTAACATCCCTAAAACTAGGTACAAGGAAAGGATGTCCACTCTTTCCACTAGTATTTAGCACTGTACTGGAGGTCCTAGTCAGTACAGTAAGAAATAAAAGACAAAGATTAGAAAGAAATAAAACTGTCACTGTTGATGGGTATGTATATGTGGGAATGGGGGGCATATGGGAAATCTCTATACCTTCCTGAATTCTGCTGTGAAACCAACAGTGCTCTAAATAAATAGTCTTAATTTTAATAAATTAATATTTGCCTGTTGGTGGGAATGCAAAGTGGAGCAGTCACTGTGGAAAACAGTATGGAGGTTCCTCAAAAAGTTAAAAATAGGGGCGCCTGGGTGGCTCAGTTAGTTGAGCATCCGACTCTTGATCTTGGCTCAGGTCTTGATCTCAGGGTCAGGAGATGAAGCCCCGAGATGGGTTATCACACTGGGCGTGGAGCCTACTTAAAAAAAAAAAAGAAAAGTTAAAAATAGAACTACCTTATGATCCAGTAATCACACTACTGGGTATTTACCCCAAAATACAAAAACACTAATTCAAAGAGATATATGCATCCCTATGTTTAGAGCAGCATTATTTACAATAGCCAAACTATGGAAACAGCCCAAGTATCCACAGACTGATAAAGGATAATGGATAAAGTGGTATATACATACAATGCACTACTACTCAGCTACAAGAAAGAATAACATCTTGCCATTTGCAACAACATGGATATAGCTAGACAGTATTATGCTATGTGAAATAAGTCAAAGACAAATACCATATGGTTTCACTCATATGTGCAATTTAAGAAACAAAACAAATGATCATAGGAGAAAAAAAGAGAGAGTCAAACCAAGAAACATACTCTTAATTCTAGAGAACAAACTGATGGTTAGCAGAGGGGAGGTGGGTGGGGGGATGGGTGAAATATGTGATGGGGAATTAAGGAGTACATTTGCCCCGATGAGCACTGAGTGTTGTACGGAAGTGCTGAATCACCATACTGTATACCTGAAACTAATATTACACTGTATTTTAACTATACTGGAATTAAATTAAAAAAAAATTAGTAACTACTACTTCCCTGTTTTTCACCCTTTTACACACACAGCTGTTCCATATCTCCATGACTTTGTCCTCTTCCCTTTGCCTGGAAACATACTTCACTGTAATTACTTGTTTAATTATCTCTTTACCCGACTGCAGTAATTAGTTTCAATTATGAATAAGCTGCCATAAACATCCGTGCCCAGGTAACCGGCTTTTGTTCATTTTTATATCTCCTGTGCCCATACAGCACCTTATAAGTATACACACCTCAGTTGGTGTGAAGTGACTGTTAATGCCATTGGAAATAACACCCAGGCCAGGAACTCCTAACATTTCCAGTTCTGAGGAAATCTAGCAAGGTTTAAAAATGTTCCTGTGAGACTCTAGCAAGCTTTTTCATAACCCAAAAAGGGAACACAAAAGAAAAAGAAAAATATAGAAGGAAAAGGTCAATGACCTTAAAATTCCTATGACACAGGTTACCCTGCCTTTCCTGGATGACTCACCTCTTATCGGGCTGAAGTCTATTTTCCACATAGCAGTGGTAATGGCAGCCACCATTTAAGCACTTTAAATAAATTGAGTTATCTTTTGGTAAAATACTTAGAACAGTGCCTGGCACAGAGTCTACAATATAAAAGTATTTGTAAAACAAACAAATCCATTTAAGTCTCACAACTCCATGAGTAGGTTTGATTAATACTCTCATCCAAGGAAAATGAGGCATTTAGAAGTTTGGTAACTTGCCCAAGGTCTCACAGCTAAGTTACTCAGCATTCTGGCTCTTAGTCACTATGCTCTGCTGCTCACTGCAATTACATTAAAATTCAATTCTCTTCCGTAGCCACAGTATCTAGCAAAAAATAAATATATGTGGATTGAAAGAATGAATGAATGATTCAAATGAGTGACTCAAAAGGTGAAACGAGGAGGCATCTTTTCATTCTATTATTATGCTATCATGCTCTGCAGAAATCCTCCGCTGCAAAGATGAAATACATCCCTTGCTTTTTGTTACGTCTTCCAAAAGACATGAACAAGTAAATACGCATTGACAAAGAGAGAAAGAGGGAAAATCTTTAACACTGATGGAACAAAAAGATGGTGCCACAATCCAAAAATGTGTTATGCCCATGGCCAGTCCCTCTCTATCACAGTGCTCCATCTAACAGGGGCAACAAAGAACATGGCCTCCCAAAGATGGTTCAGGCAGTACCTGCCAGGATGTATACCTGGGCCTCTTTTTATTGTTCTGTAAAAGAAGATTCAAAATGAAGGAAGCACTGCTAAGAGTCACTCAAAATAGAGTGCAAAGGACATTGAGGAAGTAGGCCCTATGCACTCTCCTGTTTCAATTCTCAGAACACCATGAACTTTTGATTTTTGCCAATTGGACACATCCTTTTACTTTGGGCAAAAGAGAGATAATGTAACACCTGTTAATTAAATAGCAAATCCTGCACTAGATAATCAGTTTAAACTCTGCCAGCACCATTATAATTTTTTCAAAACAAGTTATGCGACTTTGTGGTTTTTACCTTTATAAGGCTGTACTCCCGGCTCACAATTCAGGGCACTTTCAATTTCGGTTGACCCTGTCTCCCAGTGAAACCCAAAAAAAACATTCTGGTTACTTTACAGCCTCTTCTTCTCATTGACAGCTCCTCTAAACTACTTCTGAAATATCTATGTAGGTTATCTTTAATCTCTCATTTCAGGATAAGCCTTTGTTCAAACAGTGAATGTATATGCCAGGTCTCAACTAGATCATGTCTCCATTTGCTCCCTTGCTTTCAAAATGTTTCAATCTCTTCATTTTTACCTCACATTACAGTCTGTACCCACCCCCCACTGCCCTCTTTTCAACTTTCTCTTACTCTACTGCTTCTTGCCCAAAATATGGTAATCTGTACATTGTAGTAGGCATGGATACACCATAGTTTTGTACAAGGGGAGGATATTATCTAATTTGTTTCCAAAACATTTCCTAAAGACATTTAATACGGTCTTGAGTCTTTTGTCTGACTCTATAAGGAACAGAACATATCTTATGAAGGTCCATAGCTATTTTGGTTATTCTACCTCTTGAAGGTACTTGCCATATGCCTACCATAATTAATAATTATTCTATTGAATTGCAAAATTCTTAAAACTAGGGATCTTTTATTCTTTATTTTAGTATCTATGATTCCTAATCATAGTGTAGGCACATAGTAAACACTAAATGAATGTTTTTAAGAACAGTTTCCCAGGGGCGCCTGGGTGGCTCAGTTGGTTAAGCGACTGCCTTCGGCTCGGGTCATGATCCTGGAGTCCCGGGATCAAGTCCCATATCGGGCTCCTTGCTTAGCAGGGGGTCTGCTTCTCCCTCTGACCCTCCCCCCTCTCATGTGCTCTCTCTCTCTCAAATAAATAGATAAAATCTTAAAAAAAAAAAAAAAAAGAACAGTTTCCCTTTATTTCTGACTCTCCTGAAACCAACAGTTTGTTCCTATTCTATCATCTTAGATCTTTTTCCTCAAGAATTTTGCACTTATTCAAATACAGTCATTGATGACTTTTCTGCCTAGTCATGTGGCTTTAAAAAAATGTTTCTATACTCAGCATCTACCAGCTTGCCTACTTCTCCAAAGTAATTCCTAGATGTTTTACTTTACAGTTATTCTTAAGGATTGTCTTGAAAAAATATTAACAAAAATGATCCTTGAAGCAATCTTTAGAGACTTGTATAATACACACTTCTCACTCTATGTGATTTTCTAGCTATTCCATCTCCTTGTTTCTTGAATCTTAAGTTTCTTATGCATTAGAACGCATTACGTTCAAATTCATTCTTAAGGTTAGTGGAGAACCCTGTTTGATGTTTTGAAAGCTGAAAGAGAACATGTTACTGGTTCTCTTTACTTAACAACATTCTATTTTTCTGACATTTATCAGTTTTCCTAGTCATTTCATGAACACTTACCCACCACTTTGTGTCATACCCAGCAAGGCATTAGGAAAACAAAAGATGAAGTATATACCTTTGAATCAGAAGAGCTCAGGGTGAAGTAGAGGGAGGAGACACAAGTAAAGAAGCAAATGTAGAAATAAACACTAAGACAGGGATATGCACAGAGTCCAGTTGGAGCCTAAAGAGAACAAAAACTTTGTATGAAGGTTCAGAGCCTAGGTTTTTAAGTCACATGGACTTGACCCTGATTCTTAACTCTACTTCTTAAAGAATTGCGTGACATAGGAGTCAAGGTTTTCTCATTTGTAAATGGGATAATAATAATTTCAACTGTTCCTTGTTGGGAGTACATGAAACAAAGTGCTTAGTTTAGCAATACATGACAAGCATTCAATAAATGGTGTATGATATTCATAACAAGGAGGCAGCTAGACTATATAAGGCTTCCTGGAGGAGGTGACTCTTGAATTCAGTCTTAATCAATGAATAGGAAGGGGAAGGAATCAAGATGGAACCTTAGAGAAAGGTTAAATTTCCACACTAGCATTAAGAACTTTTCATAATCCAGTCTACCTCAGCAACTTCATCTCCCTTCACTCTCCTAAATGAACCCTCCCTTCAATCCAGGCTGGTATACTCACTGACCTCAGAATATGCTTTACTAATTTTCTCTTTTCTATTACTGGTTAGGCCATACCCTTCCCTGTGCCTGGCACTGGTCTGTCTATAAGGCCAACATAAATTCTACCTTGTAATTGATGAGTCTGGCCCCTATCAATGGCTCCATTCTTTGAACCTTTCCAGCACAAGGTCAGATTAACACACTCCCTGCCACACTTCCTCTGCCCTCTGACAACATACATGCTCATCATAGTCCTTAACCATCCTTTGCACTGAGATTTCACTTTTCACATGTGAATGTAATGTCTCCATTGGAATGTAAATTCCATGAGGGTAAGACTTCATGCAAGCAAGACATATAGCATCTTAGTCTCAGATCTATTTGGTACATGAATGAACAGTTCAGAAAACGTAACAACAGTCTCAAGGTCAAATGCAAAGCACAAGACCAATCTGTAGAGACTTAAATGCTTGGACTTAATGGGGTTTCTTGTTTTTAGGTTCTTACCTTGGTATGCCCTCAACTCTATCAACAGCAAACTATAAAAACTTTCCACTGTGGACTGCGCAAGTCATTTAAGATGGGTCAAATCCTTAAGGCATGATATAATCAAACAAAGGCCAGGAGAAAGGTTGGCAGTCAACTCCTTAGACATGGCTACTATATTGGAAGGTAATATATAGAATAGTAGAATCAATAGATCTAGGTTAAACTTACTGGCTTTAGAACTTGGACAAATCCCTAACCTCTCTGAGAGATCATTTCCTCATCTAATAATGTGGATGAATCACTTAGCACTCAGTTGCTGTGAAGATTAAATGAATTAATATACAAAGTAACTAGCACAGTGCCAGAAATATAATACCCCCCAATTATTCATTACTAAAACATCATACCAACCCAGTATCCTCTGCAAAAAAAGTAGAAAAATAGAGATTCTCTTCCTTCTTTAAAGATAATATATCAGGAGCAACCTGCTGAAACTCACTGAGGCCTCAGTGCTGAACAAGGAATCCTAATGTCAACACCCAGTGGGTCACAAGGTTGTCTTTATGGCCAATCTCTACCTGTTACAGTGGGGCGGGGAGGTGGGAGGAGCTAGATTAGATTCTTGTGATACTTCTTAGAGCAACTGGGTCTTTTCAAAATTAAGAACTCTTAATTTGATAAAGGACAATGTGGGAGGCTTAGAGACTGTAATCAAGCTGAACTCCCACAGAAAGAAAAAAGATCAACAGTATTCCATAAAGGATAAAAGGTGAACTCTTCAAGCCTTTGAAGCCATTTAAAATTGTGACCGCTGCCTCTGACAATTCTTCAGATCACCCACTGTTAGTGCAAAATGGCAGGAATCATAAAATAACATGTGGAATGGGCCAAAAAAATCATCATCTCTTGGAAGTGGAAGACACCTCCAAAGTCATCCAGCCTAAGTGTCGCCTTAAACAGCTGAGGAGGTAGGAATAGGAGAGATGCCATGCTACATGCCAAGCTTCTTTCTGCCTCCCCAGATAGTCACTTCTTTGTCATAACTTCCCCAAGATTTCATCCTTGCAGTAAGCATGATCAGACAGAATAAGCTCATTTACCTTACAAAATGGGCCCAAACACTGAAAATATCCCAAGACTCTTGCCCTTGGCAGAACACAGGTACAAAAGTGCAAAAGAATACACATTTTTTGTTGCTGTTAGCTGATTAAACTATCAGGTCTCTGCATAGGAAGTTGTACATAGAGAGTGACAATGTTGCCTACAAACAGAAATGCATACTTAGAACTAGAGGCTTTTCATATTTCTTCCACAGAACAAAAGATCTCTATGAGCCTACCGAAGTTACTGGAAGTTTCTGGTGGTGATAAATGACTTCTTCCCTCAAGATGACACAGGGAAGAAAAGCTGAATCAGAATGTGAGACTTCTTAGAAGTACAACATACCAGGTAACTAGTTTTGAGAGGTGATAAACAGAAACATGAAATATTCTCTTGTTAACTGAAGCAAGCAAACGTCAAATGACTGTTTTTATCCCTGTTCAATCCTAAATTTGTGGCTCTATTCTCCCAAACTCTTAAGTTTATCAACCTATATGAGTAAGACATGAAAATACTCAGGAAAATTCAAGAAGTCACCTGATGAATAAATATTCATTGTGAATAAACACACATGTACTATAGAAACTAAACTACTTTGGGGGGAAATATATTAGCTCGATACAATTATTCTTCTTAATTAGTACCATGAAGTTTGTTCTAACTCTAATGATTCAGAAAAATGTCAACACCAGGAATTTTAGGTCTGCAAGATCAAGAGGATCAGAAATTTTCGCAAATGGTGAGCTGACCATTAGTCAACCCTGCTATGCAAACACCAAAAAATGTGAAGTGATATTACACTGAACTTTAACTTTCAGTGACTTGAACACACAAGATAGTATCAGAGTTCTGCTCTGCTGTAGTCAGGAGATCCTGGAAATACTGTGGATGCCACAGCAAAAGAACCATGTCAAAGTACGTGAAATTCTTAAGAGACAAGAATTAAATCCCAAATCACATGAAGGCAGCTAATATTATAATCAGGGATACCTAGGCTATAGAGCAAACAGACAACACAGGAGAACAACTTTAAATACTTGCAGGACAATCAGAAAAGGAACTAGCATTGTTTTAACTGGCCCTAGAGTGCCTATGGATGAAAAGTACAGGAAAGCAGATTTTTGGGTTAACAATACTTTTCCATATTAGCCTCAAAAGTCAATAAACATTAAGAGTGAGAGAATGAGAAATTTACATAAAATAGGAAAAATGAATCTAAAAGAACTGGCATACTGAATGAGCATTCAACAAACGTTTAGGAGCTCCTATGAAGCATGACACTAAATCATGCAGGTTAGAATGAATTACATGTCCATACGTAAAGCTGACTTCCAATCTTGTGTAACAAGAAAAAAAGACAAAGTATGGATGATTCTGAAAGCTATATTTTATGAAGAATAGTCTATAAGTGGTGGTCAAGATACTGCAAAATTCCACATGAGCAAAGATGATGGACTGTTCTAGGTAGTGGAGATGTGAGCAGAAAGGAGCAGATTTACAGAAACATTTCAGAACTAGAGCTCACAGTACTTGATGAGTTACTGAAGACTCTTGGAAAAACAGTATTTAGCAGGATTTACTGTGCTAATCTAGCTATTCATCTATCAACAATAACAATAGTAGCAAACAAACAGTGCTTTCCAGGTGTCAGGCCATGTTCTGAACGTTTTACACAGATTAACTCATTTCATTCTCATAACCCTATGAAGTATAGTCTATTAACATGCACATTTTATGGATGAGAAACTAAGGCATAGCTTCTATCAGTAAAGTCAGTCAGACAACCAATGTCAAAGTTCTAGTAAGAGGTTAGATACCAGATGGATCTACATAATCCCAAAGCTAAAACTCTTAATCCATACACTAGACAGCTGTAAAGGGAAGGCAACAAAACCCAAGGCAGGCTGCACGGAAGTAGCATTAAGAGCCCAGTGGAGAGGGTTGGTAGAAACAGGGGGGTTCGAGGGGAAGGCTGAGGATTTAGCGGTATCAGAATCACAGGACGTGCTTTAAAAAAAAAAAAAGAAAGAAAACCTAAACAAACAAAACCTGCATTGAATCCAAATTCCTAGAGATGGGACCTAGGAATCAACATTTTTTTTAAAGATTTTATTTGGAATTAACATTTTTTTTTTTAAAGCAAAACCGAGAAACCCTGGGTAATTTTGAGGCACAACCAGGTTTGAAAGGTGCTGTAGCAAATCTCTAAGGTTTCTTTCCGTTTTAGCATTCCAGTTGACACTCTAAATTAATTTCCCAAAAACGGAAAGAAGGCGGGGGGGGGGGGGGGATTTCTAGCACCAAGAAAACGGCTCTGCATTTACTCAACACCGTTTACGCTCCCATTTTTACTAAACAGTCTCTCACAGGAAAAGGGATAAAGTAGGCAACGGAAGGAGGGGTGTGGTGTTAAAAAGCAGGCTTTGGGGCAGAACTTTCTAGGCCTATTAGCACGCGAAAGAAAACCTTCCTGACTATAAATACATGTGATGATCCGACTGAAAAATGAGGTGGAGTCCTCAGATCCGGGTCGGGCTAACGATGGATGCCAATATAGTCTTCTACGTGCTCAGAGCGTTGCAGGTAACCTCTAGGCCGGGCCCTGCCGGCTCCAAGGCCAAAGGAATCGCGCTCAGGAGAGGTGTCCGCTCTGCAATTACAACCTCAAGCACCCTGCTCCCGGAGACGACCTGTGCCGCACATACCCGAGGGTCCTCTGGTAAGATTGATTTCCTCCTCAGTGACCAAATAATCCACTCTTCCGTTCATGTCTCACTGCTCTTTTGGCTTCCCACCCGGGTCGGTGGGGGCTCGCGCAGGTGAAGGTGAACCAGTCTCCGCCGAGCGCCCAGAGCCCAGCACTTTCAGTTCAGCAGCCTGCAGACCGGAAGAGGAAGCCGCGAGCGCTGGGAGCGCAGGGCATGCTGGGAGTCGTGGTTCTCCCGGCTTCTTTCGTCCCGCCCGCGCCACGCACTGCGAGCCGAGCGACGAGTCGGTTCCCCTCCTACCTTACCGTTGGGGGTGGGGATCGTAAAGATTGGAGACACAAATTAATTGATACTGGCGAGGAGAAATTAAACATAAAATCTCCTGACATCTCAGAAAACCGCTACAAACATGGGGGAAAAAATAAGTTCTGTTATTCAGATTAGGAGGGGCGTCGCAGGCAATCCGCTAATGCGACTGCAGAGGAGATCTCACCCTTTTATAGAGCCAGGCAAATACAGTCCATTCCATGCACGTTCTCGTGTAAAAGGACTTAACACAGTTTCCTGTATACATTCTTCGGCATGTCACCCCTGTAGTGGCCACCTGTGTCAGTTAATTGCCACGATCCAAAGGAAAAATAAAACTATGACAAGCAGGTACTTAAAGCTTTGACTCATGCCACCCTCACTTCCAAGCCGCCTCAACATGTTGATTGAATGAGTGGATAAAATGATCATAATAAAAAGCGGAATATCGTAAGTGAAAAAAGTAAAGTATAAGTGAGAATGGAATATCAAGAGAGGAGAGGAAATAGAAATGGGAAATGCAAATCATCAATGAAGAAATATGAAACAAATGAATAAACAAAACAGAGAAATAGACTCATAGATAAAGGAAAAAAACTGTTGGTTAACAGAGTGGGAGGGATTGGGGGGTGGGCAAAATAGGTGAAGGGGATAAAGAGGTACAAAATTCCAGTTATAAAATAAGTAAGTCATGGAGATGTAATGAATATAGGGAATATAGCCAATAATATTGTAGGAACAAACCATAGTGAGGTGCATGTGAGCACCGAGTCAAGGGAGAGGGAGACAGGAGTGAGGCCAAGAGAAGGTAGGAAGGGGGCCCCATAGGCCCCCTAGGGATCACCCCCACAGTGGTACCTCCATTTTTCCAGTGACTGTGAAGACCTACTAGGCCCTAACCTTTTGACCCCCACCCCATCCCTGGCCAGGGCTTTGAACACCAGTCCCAAATCATTCTACCCTCCCTTGCTCCATCTTCATTTGCTCAGGCTTCCAGCCTCACCCTTCTCCTCTTCCACACTCTTCTCTGTGATTAGTATTATGTTAGGGTACTGTGTGAGCCGCAGAGAGGCTGGGAACCAGGAGGCAGGATGGAGATGGGGCAAAGAGAGGAGAAGAAGAGCTTGTTCAAGGATCCTTCTCCTCACGGGATCCCAAACTGTACAACCAGCTCCTCTTCTGCATCCACCTGGATCTGAGAAAGTGCATTGTAGGCATAAACAGCTATCATGGAAACCTGCTGCAAGTCGGAGAAGGGGATGGGCTCGCTGGGCAGCACTTGGTGGGGCTGGCTGGTGAGAGATGGCAGCCACGGCAGCTTCTTCCAGTGGGTCAGGCTGAGGCTCAGCACAGCCAAGCGGGTGCTGTACTGCTCCATGCCCTGGGAGTCCGCAGCAAACACGTCAATGATGTTGCTGGCTGTCTTAGCAAGGATGGAGGAGAGCGAGTGGGAGGCAGGCTGTGGTAGTTGTGTTCAGCTCCTTTGAGGGCTTTGGCAGGGGGGCTGCTAGGATCCAGCAGCAGCTTCTGCTCCTCTTGGTCCTGGTCCAAGTACTCGTTCTCGCTGCTGTAGCAGCACCCCATAGCTGGGGTCCGGTTGGGCGCTCAGGCCAGGGGAGGAAGGCCGGCATCCCTTAGGATCCCTTCAGTCACATGACCTGTGGCTGCATCCAGCAAGCAACCACCCGCCTCCCCACCTAGCCCTTCCCAGAGCCGCGCAGTTGCCCTTGTTCCTCTATGTTTTAAAGTCTATTTTGTGGTAAGTGAAATAAGTCAATCAGAGAAAAATGATTATCATATGATCTCACCGATATGTGGAATTTAAGAAACATAACAGAGGATCATAAGGGAAGAGAAGAAAAAATAAAACAAGATGCAATCAGAGAGGGAGACAAACCGAAAGAGACTCTTAATCATAGAAACAAACTGAGGGTTGCTGGAGGGGAGAGGAGTGGAGGGATGGGGTGACTGGGTGATAGACATTGAGGAGGGCACGTGATGTCATGAGCACTGGGTGTTATATAACACTGACGAATCACTGACCTCTACCTCTGAAACTAATAATACATTATACGTTAATTAATTGAATTTAAATTTAAAAATAAGTAAACAAAGTCTATTTTGTCTGATATGAGTATTGCTACCTCAGCTTTTTTATTTTCACTTTCATTTGCATGGAATATCTTTTTCCATAAGTTTCAGTCTATGTGTGTCTTTAAGTCTGAAGTGAGTCTCTTGTAGACAACATATAGATGGGTCTTTTTTTTTAAATGTATTCAGTCACCTTATGTCTGTCTTTTGATTGGAGCATTAGACCATTTACATTTAAAGTAATTAATTGACAGGCATGTACTTTGTTGCCATTTTGTTGTTTTCTGTAGTTGTCTGCTCCTTTTTCTTACTCTCTTCCCTTGTGATAGATGACTTTAGTGTTACGCTTGGATTCCTTTTTATTTTTTGTATATCTATCATAGGTTCTCAGTTTGTTACCATGAAGTTCATATATAAAATTCTAAGTGTATAACAGTCCATACTAAGCTGATGGTCGCTTAAGTTTGAACACATTCTAAAAGCACATTTATACGTCTCCCTCCATGTTTTATATATATATATATTATACCTTATATCTCTTTATGAATCCCTTTACTCATTTTTTGATATAATTGATTTTACTTTTGTCTTTCAACCTTCATACTAGTTTTTTTTTTTTAAGATTTTATTTATTAATTTGACAGAGAGAGACACAGTGAGAGAGGGAACACAAGCAGGGGGAGTGGGAGAGAGAGAGAGAGAAGCAGGCTTCCCGCTGAGCAGGGAGCCTGATGCGGGACTCGATCCCAGGACACTGGGATCATGACCTGAGCCGAAGGCAGACGCTTAACGACTGAGCCACCCAGGCGCCCCATCAACCTTCATACTAGTTTTATAAGTGATTGATCTACTACCTTTATTATATGTTTGCTTTTACCAATGAAATGTTTTTATTTCATAATTTTCTTACTTCTAGTTATGGTCTTCTCTTCTCCACTTAAAGAAGTCTCTTTAACATTTCTTGTAAGACCAGTTTAGTGGTGATGGACTCATTTAACTTGTTTGTCTGGAAAATTCTTTATCTCTTCTTCCATTAATGATTAATTTTTCATTTCAGTTATTGTTTGCTTCAGCTCTGGTTCTTTTTTTATATTTTCTATCTCTTTATTGAAGTTCTCATCGAATTCATTCAGTCTTCTCTCATGTGGTGAGCATCTTTATGAACATCACTTTGAATTCTTTATCAGGTAGATTGTTTATTACATTAGTTCTTTTTCTGAAGTTTCATCTTATTCTTTCATTTTGAGTATATTCCTCTATCTCTTCATTTTGTCTGAACTTCTGTATTTGTTTCTGGGGGTCAGGCGAAACATACCTCTGCCAGTCTTGAGGGAGTGGGTTTGTGTGGGAATATCCACTGTGTAGACTACATGTGCCTTTTGACTTTGACTGGCTGGTTGAAGCTGTGGTGGGCTTGGGCTGGGTGATTCCAGGGCACTCCACACTAGGGCTACCCTGGAGGGGCAGCTGGAGCTGAAGTGGGCATGAGCCAATGGATCCCAGAGTGCTTTGCGCAAGGGCTGCCCTGGTAGGACAGCTGGGGCTGGAACAAGTGTGGCACTCCATGCAGGAGGCACTTTGGGGAATGGCTGAAGCTGAAGCAGGCATGGGCTTGGGGTGTCCTGGGATGTTGTGTGCCTGGGCTGCCTTAGTGAGTCAGCTGAGCTGGAGTGGGCAGAGGCCAGGGGTGTCCTGGTGTGTTCCATGCCAGGGCAGCCTTGGTGGGAAGGCTGGAGCTATAGGAGGCATAATTAGGGAGCCACTTTTGTGGAACAGCTGAAGCTGATATGGGCTAATGGCCCAGGGCCCACTGAGGGAGCAGACTAGCTAGAGCGCCCAGTCGCTGCTCCCATCTGCACTATCAAAGTGGAGGGACAATGTAAACAATGGTGCTCACCAGCAGCTCCAACCTCAGAGAGAGTTCCAATACTCCCCAACTGTTTGTTGTACACTCAAGGATTCATAAATGGGTTTCCTTCACTTATAGTCTAATTGCCCTTTAAACCACTGTTTTTTGTTTTTGGTTTTTGGTTTTGGTTTTTTTGCTGTGTTCCGGGTTAGGTGAATCTGTGCACGGGCCACTCAATGATATCCCACCCCTTACCCTGCCCTGCAGGTGTGGGGTTTTGGTCATCATTGTGTCTCTGTCTCTTCTCTGTGTGGTGTCCCTATTCTTTGTTGTGCAGAGCTGTTTCATCAGCCCTCAGTTCTTTCTCAGGAGGCATGACTCTGTATGTAGGTGTAGATTCTGTGTGTCTGTGGGAAAAGGTGAGTTCAGAGTCTTCCTATACCACCATCTTCAACCCTTCCTACATTACATTTTAGATGTACAAATTGTGTCTTCCTATTCATATCCCCTGTACAGTGACAGTGGTTGTAATAATCAAACATAGTGATTATTCAATAAATACTTGTTGAATGAATAAATAAGTTAATCGTCCTGGAACTGGACCAGAGATCATGTGACAGGATCAGTTTCTCACAGACCACTATGAACTGTTATCTTTGACTAGACTATAAGATCCCTTCTCAGAATACCTTATTCCTTCTAAACCAGCTCTCCCCTCATGCCTACTCCCTGATGATAGTGCAGACTTTATCATCTTTTGGTTTCTGAAACTTAATTCTAGTGTCAGTCTTAGAGTGCACTCTATCATTTAACTAATGGTGGGGACAAGGTGGATTTGTTTCAGTGTATTATTTGATTTAGCCTTCATAGTAACCTTCAGAGTAAGTACAGGTAAGTCTATTTTGTAGATGAGGAAGCTAAGGATCAAAGAAAAATTTAACTTGCTTAAG